ACATCTTTTTGGTCATTGCTTTGTTAAATCGGTATATTCTCTAATATGATTAGAGCCTGCTGCGGTTTTCTTCTTTTTTTTTTTTTTTGCTAGAAGAAACTGCCAATTTGTTGACTGACAAGAGATTGTAGTTAAAGTTTGGTATGTTAGATCTTCTGGAAGGTCTAGATATTCTAAGATTCCTATAGATCCTATGTTTTGAACCTTTTAAATACTACCATCTGGTAAACATACTGGCATAAGACATAACACTGGTGTGTGATGTTTGAATAAGGATAGTTTGGAAGTCATATGGCTAGTTGCACCACTGTCTAATATCCACAAAACCAATGCTATTTGCTCTATAGAACTCAACTTATTGAATGTACTCATACCTGCTAAGTCTGAAAAATGTGCAAAGTTGATCTACTCTCCTTCAGGAATAGTCATCTTCCCTTTGAGTAACCTACTAGAAAACTTTACTGAGCAATTATAAGTCTACAAAACATTACTCTATCTGGCACAAAACTTTAACAGAGCCTATTTTCATTTCATCTTATGAATAGGACCGGCCGAAAAAGCATAACAAATCCACTGTGACATATGACTTCCATTACTCTATCAAACAAGACTTCTCCACCTCTTTAGTACCATTGCTCGTCTCCTACTTGAATAGCTTTTGGCATGCCTCAATGTCGGAGGCCTGAAATTTCAGGCTCCATTCAACAGTTTCAGTAGACAACCTCTTCACTGAAGCGGTGAATACTTCTTTATATGAGACTTATTAGTCATATTCTCCATGATCTTATACACCATGTTGAAATCCAAACCCCTAATCAAAACTAATCTTCCCAAAAAAACTGCCAAAATAGACAAGCCCATCAACAGAGGGCTCAAACTAATTCCACATCATAACATGATGAGAAAGCCCAGACAACAACTCATCACCAGTAAGAATTTTCTTAATCAAGATGTAATTAAATAAAATCCGCAACAAGATTAACAAATGGACTTCTCTCCAATCCTACAGATACAGCTTCCTTGACAAATTCAGAATTATTAGCTGGTGGCAAAAATTCCTCATCAAAATTCTTGATAAACTCAGAAGAATTAGCCAGTGGCATAAAAAACTCTCTCAAAGAACCATCATCCAAGAGACTAACATTGAAACACTTCACAAGAATGGCGCTGACTCTTCTTCTAAGTTTCTCCCTACTCAATGGAGCCTGTAGACTTGTAGCAGGTCCTCTCATGGATGAATTTTTATCAAAATCTTGATTTTTTTCGTCACTTTTCCCCAAAAGGACATCATCCTTAAGATTTTTCTCCCACACCTTCCACTTCTTTAGCGATTCCAAGGCTGATTGGTCTCTAGGGCTCTAATTCTCTCATCCGATGAGTCTATCCTCTTAACCAAATGAGAGGTAAAAGTTTTGATCAAATACCTAAGGTCGAAGGGCTGGTGGTGTGGGATAATGGAAAATATCGTCGGGTAGAAGCCCCCACACAGGGACAACAACCAGAGCGTGCAGCTTGGTCACTTCCCTCTCACCCAATCGCTTGAATAAATCTTGAAATGAGAGTGTTATTTTGCGGGTGATATTTATCGTCATAGCACCTGAAACTGCAATGGGTAAACAAGATGGCCCTTTATGTCGGATGTGATGTGGAAACATACGATGCCATGAAACGCCTTTTCCATCATAATTATCGCCGGCGCCGGAGTTGCAGAGGCATGTTGCATTTTTTTTCCTAAAACGAGATACGGGTAAAATTTGAAAACAGTATTTGATGTTGAATTAAAAATGAAGTACGATAGATAAAAAAAAACATTGGGCTTACCGTACGACAAATAAAATAATGGAGGTAGTACGTAGTACTGCTAAATTAGTTTTTGTCTACATGATTCTAAGCACTAATGTTTAATCTCTTCCAAATTACTTTCATATTAGAGTATCCGCAAGTTTCTCCACATAACTAGTATGACTTTGTTAGTTAAAAAAAAACTTGGTAGAGCATTTAAATTTTTTTTTGAAGGGTAGCATTTAAATATTTTGAGTTCCTTCAGATCTATCAATCCAAATTTGTAGCATATTTTTTTTTTCATTTAGAACCTACTTACACCTACTCAATACAAGTTTATTGACATTTATTAAATAGATCCTTTAATGTTCATGCTCAGTATAAAGCAGCAAATAACAATTACAGACAAAATTTGTTTCCATCTAGTTCCAAAAAATGAAACTTTGAGCAAAAATGAAAATCATGTAACACATCGTCTGTCGAGGTGATCTGCAACAATCTTGTAGAAAAAAGAATTACATATAGAAATATTTTAACCAAACACATTGATACCACACCTATTTTATGCATCACTCATGTTGGAGGTGTTAAAGGGGAAGAGAGGGAAAATGGGAGCACTTATTGGTCATTTTTTGCAATTGTTCCAAATCCTTCAGGATCTTTCGATAGAAAAAGAGCAGCACACCAATAAATTTGAAGAATATATAGCAACAGTTGATAGTATTACTTTCGAAACCTGAACTTTTGAATTCTGAAGCGGAACTCAACTATTGAAATATGAAGAAACAACATATACATCAAGTTCTTCTGGGACGTGTGACATAATGCATGGATATTTTCTCTGGTATGAAGTTGATAGTGTAGGGAGACCTCATTGTCTTTCTATTATGCTTCTATTTCTCCTTTTATCATTGAAGTTAACCTTTTATCAAATGCCAAGAGCCCATTGATTGCCACAAAAAGCCACTCAAGATTTGGTGCTCCCTTCCAGAAATTAAGGCATGGTAGACAAAAAGCATGCAACAACAAAAAAAAGGGATGGAATATCTCATCTATGACGAACAATGTGTAACTATGTTGGATATAAAATGTAAGAGAAATAGTATTGGGTACAAAATTGGAAGTTGCACGAAGTAATATAATATGAAGTTACTTGAAAGAATAAAAAATAAACATAAAATGACGGAGATGCCTCTTATATTTATGTTAACGCTAATGCAGGCAATTACAATCAAATAAAGAACCTTGAATTTAATACGCTCTCGAAACCTATAATCAAGATTTATGATTTAATACCCTCTCAAGAACTTTTGACCTGCACCTCATTAAGTTAAAAATAAACAACATGCATCAGGTAGACCTATAATATGAAAACTGAAAGAGAAATTTTTAGAGTGAAATAAACTACATGACATTGCGCAGTACTTTGGATTGGAATCTACACAATTAAGTACAATAACATGTACAAATATATTCTCCGGAATATTACAAACAATCATTGCAAGGCTTTAGAAAAATACCATTGCCTGTGCAAAAACTCTTTTAACAAATAAAAAAGCTAAATAAAAGAATCGGCTGAATCAAGAAAAAAAAATTTATTTGAACTCATAAAACGGTAAAAACCTGCAAAGGTAACCATATTGTGAATCCATTGTGAAGAAAAACAACTTGAAGAAGAACGATTTTTTTTTTCCATGAAAAGAACTATTGAACTGAAATGGTTAGGGATGAAAATGAGGATGTCAATGATGATGATGATGGTTTAATACCTTTTGAATTCTAAATCGATGCAAGGAGTCGTTTATTTGGTACCTCCCAAGGAGTCATTTATTGACAACTTTTGGCCGGTGATGAAGTTTGGTGTTTTTTGAGTTGGCAACGGAGACGAACAATGAGAGTCACGTGATAGGCACATGGGGCACTTTTATACATATATTTAATTAATTAAATAAAATAAAATTAATGGCTTGTTGTTGGGGTGCTGCGGCCAAAAAAATTTAAAAGAATTGATGTGCACTAAAAAATTTTACTTTTTGTTCGTGGACATAAGTAGTTGTCCCGAATTTGGCAAATCTGAGAGCTTAATAAAATGAGCTTTTGGATTTCCCAAATCCGAAACATTTAAATATAATAAAAATATTATATATTTTCTTTATTTCAGAAAATAAGGAAAATAGAGTAAAAAAGGTGAACAGTGACATCGGATTTGCGAAATCCGAAAGTCTTTAAATTTAATATTAAAAAAATGCCACAAAAATGGCGAGCAGATTCAAAAATTGAAACAGTAAACTCGGATTTGCCAAATCCGAGTTCTAGGGTTTAGGGTTTAGGATTACCTCTCGGATTTGCCAAATCTGAGGGCATCCGTTTGGTTTAGGGGCAATCCGTCCTTGTGGATAAGGTTGTTGGATGTATTAAATCGGATCGGATAAGGTGACAGACATTCGGATTTGCCAAATCCGAGAGCCCCACATGAATAGTGACTCTCGGATTTGCCAAATCCGAAACAGATGTGATATAAAAAGAAAAAGTTGCAGCTTCTCTTCATATCGGGTTTTTCAACTTGTGAGAGTTAGTGAAGGTTGTGGCCGGAGTTTTTCAGGCTTTTGGACGCACATTACTGCTAAATGCAGCAAGAATCGTTATTCTAACGAGGTTAGTCATTAAATCAATGTTATTTAGTTATTTTGTTGTGTATATATATTGTTTAAAGATGGAAGATTGTTAGGACTTAGGTTTGATGATTATGAATGTAATATGGTAATGTAGATGTTGTTGTTGAGTTTATAGGTTAGGATTGTTGTTATTTTAAGAATTGATTGAGGTTAATTTAATGAATTTGGATGAATTTTGTTTGTATGGAAATTTGATAGGGTTTAGGGATTATGATTTTTATTATGTTGAATTATGATTAACAGGCCAATAACGATTAAAATGTCCGGCACGGGCCATACATACTTAATTTGTTTCATAGAAGCAAGTATGTGATAGAGAATGGTGTAGTGAATACATTTGAGAACAAGCCGGACGACACTCTTGTTATTAATAGCAGGTTGTCATATGATGAGTTGCTTGGTTTGATTTATGTGGCGTTCGGTTGGAATCTTGAAATAGCTAGGACACTCCACATTTCATTAATCTATGTGACCCATAGTGTAAGGCGCGCCATGAAGATAAAGAATGATTCATATTTTGGGATCATCTACCACCTTGAGCCAATGACTAGTGTGGATTTGTACATAAACACGGAGGATATCACTAACCATGAAGATGGGAACAATCATTATGGTGGATCTTTTTTTGCACAAGATGATCACATGGATGAGGGTGGACAAGATGGTCCAAGGCAAGAACAAGCAAGTACTTCACGGGTTCATGAAGAAGATGGTCGGAGTTTATTTGCACAAGATGATCACATTGATGAGAATGATTCCGACTACGTAACTCCAACTGAAAGCTCGGTAGCACACAATCCCTCTTCGAGTAGTGATGATGAGGAAAATGATGATGAAGAATTGGTGAATGAAGAAAGGGAACTAAATCCATTTCCCCGGCGTCATGTATATAAGGAAATGGGTGAATGGAATGCCTCGAGTGTTTACAAGGATGATCTTGGTATAAAAATGACGAGACTCCCGAAGGGATGGGCATTAAAGTTTGTTTCAAGTCCTAGGAAGAAGCGAAACATGCCATGAAGTTGTGTAACATCCACAATAAAAGGGAGTTAAAGGTTATCGCGAGTAACCCTTCGTCGTGGGCGGTTCGATGTAGGACATTAGATCCCCCCTCCCCCAAGATTGCGAATCTATATGCAAATGGAGGATTCGCGTGTCACTAGAAGAGCATGGATTGCATCAAATAGTGAAATGGCGGTTCACACACAATTGCATGAGGGTGGTTAACAATAATGACAACCGTTGTGTGGGCTCGGCATTTATTTCTAGACTAATCATGAGAAAGGTTGCAAACAACGTGGATTACACGGTAAAGTCGGTGCAAAAAGATGTGAAGGAGCTGGTAAAAGTTGATTCCCCCTACAAAAGGGCGTGGAAATGGAGGAGGAAAGCCATAGAGGCGGTTTATGGCAATTGGTCCTCCAATTTTGAAGATCTTCCTAGGTAAATTTCAATTTTGCTAAATGTCAATTAATTTGTTTTAGTTTTTACTTGTATTGGCATATATTAACTCGGGTAAACTTGATGTGTAGGTATATTGAAGCACTTAAGAGTACTAATCCCGAAACTATAGTGGAATGGGAATGGAACGAGGGAGAAGAAGGTTGGAATATCGGAAGTAAGACTTTTAAATACATGTTTTGGTCATTTGCACCAGTGGCTGACACTTTCCTTGAATGTCCCCCGGTGATTTCTGTTGATGGAACACACCAACGTAAGGGATACAAGGATAAGTTGCTACTTGCTTTGGTGTATACCGCAAACAAATACATTTTACCGGTCGCATTCGCCGTGGTTGATGAAGAGACCACTGAAAGTTGGCCATTTTTCATGACACACTTGAGGTATCATGTTGTGGGTGACACCAAAGTTAGTGTGATTTCCGACCAGAACGCTGGGCTTTTGGGGGCAATGTCGGAAATACCAGAATAGAGCAATTTAGGTGATGGGGCCCACATGTATTACCTCCTGCACGTTCGGGGCAATCTAGTGTCGAAGTATAGGAGTGCGAGAGTGAAGCGGTTATGCCAAAATATGGGGAAGACGCTTAATTTGGAAAAATTCAAGCGATTGAGGCTAGTGCTCTCCGAATTCAAACCTAAGGCATGGGAGTATCTTCGTGACATAGGGGGGTGTAATTGGACTCGTTTGAAAGCCGGACGTTGTCGTTGGGGTGTCACAACTACCAACATTTCCGACATTTATAACAATACCCTAAAAGGGATCTGGTTTTTGCCCATTAGAGCTATGATCGATGCTACATAACACAAAACCGTGAAATTTGACCAAGCCGAATTGTTATTGGCGACGAGTTGTGATACACCCATCCCCCCTCCCCCTGAGCTATTGAAAGTCTACGAAGATAAGAATAACAAAGCCGCCACCTATGATGTTGAACTATGCGATGGCGACGATAATAGTTGGGAGGTGGTAACTCCGACACGGTCTAGTGAGAGGGGTGAAGCGATGTATACGGTCACCTATAATGCCAAAAAGTGTTCGTGCAAAAAATGGCAAGAGTACTGGATGCCATGTACGCACGCAGTTGCCATCACACGTAAAAAGGTGATAGGCATGTTTCTCTATACCATAAGTGTTGGAGGTGTCAAACATGGATCAAACAATTCGAATACAATGGTTTTTTCAGCGGTACCTGATAAGCGACAATGGCATATGGTTGACTGGAAACTCTATCCAAATTACGAGAATCTCGTGCAAAATGGCGGTCCGGGCCAACACCAAAGAAGGCGACGCAAGATGCAAATGGATTACGGTGCTCGGTGAACAAGTGGTGCTTGTTGGAGATGCGGAGGAGCTCACGATCCTAATTCATGTCCCCACTCGCATCCCCAAGTAGATAGAACACCTTTGGTGGACGAATGGGAGCATCAAAGTGATTAGTTTGTTGTTATATTTTGTAGAACACCTTATTATGTAGTGTTATCTCTTGGATTGAACTATTATTGTAGAGTATAGTTTTGTGAAAGTTGTTGGATGTTTACAGATTTTGGTTATTGGTAAAACAAAATTCACTGTTTTCAAAATTGGGTAACCCTCGGATTTGCCAAATCCGAAAGTTACCATTTCGTACACGTCTCAGATTTGACAAATCCAAAACTTACCATTTCTCTGTTTTTTCGATGGCAAGAAGACTCGGATTTACCAAATATGAGAGTTTGCCTTTACAAGACGTCTCGGATTTGGCAAATCTGAGTGTTTCTATTTCTGTGATGTCGGATTTGGCGAATCTGAGACTTCGTTCCATCGAAAAATCAGAGAAACAAGCGCTCTCGGATTTGGCAAATCCGAGACGTCTTGCAAAAGCAGACTCTTGGATTTGGCAAATCCGAGTCAATCGGAAGTATAAACATGGTTGACCTTCTTTCCCCAATTCATTCGTCCTACTCCCCTTTTTTACCCTAACTCCACCGTGACACCACCTCCTTGACCACTCCCTCCGCCCCCGTCAGCCATCCCAAGTCATCCGTCGCCATTCTCCCATCACCGCCGGCCTCTCTATGCCTTTCTCCACCACCGCGCCGGCCTCCCCTGTGGCCTCTACCACCGATTCATTTTAGTCATTGTGCAAAACTTAGTTGGGGATCGGCTCTCCTTGCTTGCTTGTATTCTAGCCTGTGCGAGGCTAGTAATCATGAGAAACATGATGTAACCGGTTGTGTGTATCTTCCACAGGTATTTATATATTCAATACGTGGTAATTCAATTTGAAAAATATTTATTATATTGTGAAGTATTATTATTTATTGTTGGTGTTATTGATTTCGGTTTGGGCATACGAGCGAATCCCGAGAATCATGCCCCAAAGAATTTTAAAGAGATTTGAAGAGGATCATACAGCTCCTTTAGCTTATCGTGAGTTTATTTCCTATACTCTTAATTTCCTAATATCATTATTATTTTTATTGGATAAATAATACCTTTGATTTTTTTTTTTTGTATTGAAAGGTGGAATTGCTCGTACTCCTACAAGGACGTCCCAAGGTCTAGTCTCCCAGGTTCTAGAGATCAATTGACTGCCTTAAAATCCAGTGATGTAAGCATGAATCACTTTTTATTTTATTATTATTTTTATTTTGCCACCATTCTTATGTGAATTAATTCATTAATTCCTAATTTTTTTCACAGTTTGTTTGACAACACTACGAGGATCTCTTCATACCCTCCCTGATTGTTGTAAACATGGAAGTGCCATTTAGATGGCAAGGACGTGGATGTTCTACTGGGCTATCCGAGAAACCCACGAAATTGGCAGGGTTGTGAGACAGTTTGGCTACATTCAAGTTGTTCCCCGATGGTCTATGATTTCCAATATCCAAGAGAATCAGAATGCTCACGAACACAACATGTCTGAGTTTACTGAGAAAAATGGGGTGGATCACCATAGTAAAGTACGCCCACATTGGAATAGGAGACACCGAAACATTCCTCAGGATTTGGAGGAAGGAGAGCCTGGTCAAACTGATGACAAGTACGAAGCGTGGCATAACAACGGTTCGGTGAAATTGATAAGCGATACGAGCCACTACACATCAGCCGGATATGAGTATTACTCGAGCCGATTGAAAGTCTATGTAAGTGTTTATTTGCAATTAATCTACGTATGGAAGTGCATTTTACTCTATTCATATAAATTTTGAAATATACTCCTTTAGTTAATTCAGATTTCACAAATCTGAAACTCCTTGTCTCGGATTTGGGTGATTTGTTTCTAGTCAAATTTAATTTTTGAACACTTGAATTTTTTTTGCAAAATATAAATTATTTTTAATTAAAATCATTCGTATTTGTCAAATCCGAAACTTGATTAATTTTAGTTAATTATTTAGTTAAATTTAATTAATTTCAGGTTAGAAAGCTTTCGGATTAGCCAAATCCGAGTTAAGTGTCTCTCGGATTTGTGAAATTCGACTTTTTGTTGCTCTCGAATTTGGGAAATCCGGGACAGTTACTTCTGTCAACCTTTTTTCTCTTTAAATTATTTTTGTCCAGGTTCTTCTCTTGATAATTTTTTCGGTAAAAAACTCCTTGTTGTTGTTACTCTTCACAAGGCCCAAATATTGTTGAAGTGGCCAAATAGTTTTGGTAGACTTAATTTGGCTCATATTTGGAAGTATTGGATCCCAATCTCGAGATTATTCTACAACATTCCGAAAATCTATATAATTTTGTAGAGTTTAGAAGATTTGGGTAGAATTGTGTAGAATTGTCTAGAATAGTAAAATATTTTAGGATCGTAGAAATTTGTAGAATACTCTAATTTATAATTTTGTTACTTTATTTAGAATTATCTTGTTGTTCTGATTTTCAAAACTACCCTTCACAATTTTATTTTTTTGTCATTATTAATAAAACTCACTCAAAAACCATTCTACTTCTGGGATTAAAAGAATAAGAATGTACATCATCAGGCAACAAAAACTCCCTCATGTAAAATTTCTTAGTACAATTAAATTATTAAATTTTTTATTTCTTTAGAAAAAAATAAGGAAAGAAGAAGAAGAAGGAAAAGAAGAAAAAAAAAATATCCATATTTTGTAAGAGGAAAGCCCTTCATAAAGTCCATTGTTCATTTAGAAAGGTAATTTTGTTTAGCGCCAATAGTTAAAAGTTTAAAAGTAAAATTCAAGCTGGAGAATAATTTTATGATATATGCTATTTATGTTAGTACTTTTAAAAATAATTTTAAGAGATATATTAAAATCATTTTAATAGTACTTTTTAAAGTAAAATTTTTATTCTCTGTCCCAAAATGATTGTCCTATTTAGATTCTCACTTTTTATATAATATTTAATAAATAATAAAAAATCCTAGTCGGATGATCATTTCGAGACTGAAAAAATAATTAACTAGTGACGACTTCTTTTTTGTTTTTTGGTAATGTCGAGAGTCCCACCAGAGATAGATAAACACATGTTCAGTACAATAGCCTACAAACTATAGTGGGAGGTATATCACCCTATGCAAGTCCGAGATGATAAGTACGGGTGCAAATCGGGAGTTTATGTGTGGGTTTGACTTAACAAGCCCTCCAAAGGTGCCAATGAGCAAGCTTAGAGTCACCCTTCATGCTTTTTAGAGTAGGAAATTGAATTTATAACCTACTCTTGTAAACAATGGTGATTATACCATTGAACCAACACCTCATTCAACTAAAGATGACTTTGCAGTGTATCGATTAGAATATAAAATTAAGAGCGAAATGAAAAAATTGAAAAAGTCTTCTTCTTTTTTTCCCCTCTATAAAACTACCACAAATAAAATAATGACACTAAATATGATGCATAATATAATTTACACGTCTCACACAAATATCAAAAGAATAATCATATGCATCTCACTGATGCATCTCACCACACATGGTATTTATTTAGGGTGTTAGTTTTTGAAGCCACCATCTTTACTACTTAAAGCCACTGTAAATATTTTTGGACTATTTTGCCCCTCACATTTCAAACTTCCACCGAAGGAAAAAAGAGAGAAAACTTGAAGCCACCTTCCTTCTAAACCCAAATTTGAAGTCTAATTTGATCCACCGTTGATGGCAACACGGAAGAATCAAAGCGGAAAAGAGCCGATCTCATCACGGGTACGTTTTTTTTTTTAAAAAAAATTGTGAATTGTAGGAAAAAAAAAAACATTCTGGCCGCCGGACGCGCAAAGAAGCCGTCCGGCGGCGCGACCGGGACACGCAAGAAACGCGCGTCCGGTTCAACCCGAACGAGCATTTCTTGCGCGTCCGTCGTGCCGCCGGACGGCTTCTTTGCCCGTCCGGCGGGTAGAATTTTTTTTTTTTTTTTTTTGTGGCCGCCGGACGGCCATGGAAAGCGTCCGGCGGCGCGCCGGGGCGTGCAAGAAACGCGTCCGGTTCAACCCCGATGGGCGTTTTGCTCGTTCCGGGTTGAACTGGGACGCGTTTCTTGCGCGTCCCGGTCGCGCCGCCGGCCGGCTTCTCTGGCCGTCCGGCGGCCAGAATGTTTTTTTTTTAAATGTTTTTTTAAATTTGTTAATTCATTATTAGTGTTTAATTATGTTTAATTAATGTAAGTAGGGTTATTAAGTAGTTATTTATTAATTAATAGTTTATGATTTAGATTGAGGTTCTCTATTAGTTGGTTATTTAGTTTAATTGTGTAAATAATTTAATTTGATTAGTTTGTAAATTAGTTGAGTTTAAAAGACTAATTTAATTAATAGTAGATTAGTTCACAACCTAATTAGTTTAATTGATTAAATTACTTAATTTAAGTAGTTATTAAAGTATTTAGGTTATATTTTTAATTTAATTATTAGTAGATTAGTAAATTAATCTAAAATTGAGTAAATTAATTTAAATAGTATATAAATTATTTGGATTTTAAAAAATAATTTAATTAATAGTAGATTAGTTCATTACCTAATTAGTTTGATTGATTAACTTATTAATTTAAATAGTTATTAAAGTATTTAGGTTATATTTTTAATTTAAGTATTAGTAGATTAGTAAAGTTAATCATTTTAATTGATTAAATTAATTTAAATAGTATGTAAATTAGTTGAATTTTAAAAACTAATTTAATTAATAGTAGATTAGTTCACTACCTAATTAGTTTAATTGATTTACTCATTAATTTAAATAGTTATTAAAGTATTTAGGTTATATTTTTAATTTAATTATTAGTAGATTAGTAAAGTTAATCATTTTAATTGATTAAATTAATTTAAATAGTATGTAAATTAGTTGAATTTTAAAAACTAATTTAATTAATAGTAGATTAGTTCACTACCTAATTAGTTTAATTGATTAAATTATTTTTAATTTAATTAATAGTAGATTAGTAAAGCTAATCTAAATTGTGTGTAATGTAGTTTATGATTAATTAAATTAATATAAATATTTTGTAAAATAGTTGAGTATTTTTAATTAATTATAATTAATAGTAATTTAATTAAAAATTTGGTAAAGTACTTTAGTTTACTTAATTATTATATGAATTGTATGTTTAGTCAAAGTGTACTTAATTATTAAATTATTTAGGATTTAGGAAATGTGTATAATTATTTGTTTAGACTATGAAAATATGATGATGATGAATAAAATTTTGTTTATAGGTTTATTGTGATGATGATGATGATAGTGATACTAGTGATACTGAAGATACTAGTAAGCGTAAGGTTTGTGCGCGTTATCTGACCATTAGTCGTCGGAAGAAAAAAGAGGAAAAAGAGAAAAAGAAGCGAATGAAAATGACTCAGGTCAATATGGGTGGTGTACCGTTTCAGACTCGGTCTAGTCAGCCGATTTATATACCCGAGTATTCTCAGGACGACCTGGAAGAGGAGGATGAGGATGAGGAGGATGAGGAGAATGATTTTGATGAGGATGATGTGCAGGATAGTGTTAGGATGGGTGCGCATCACAGAGATACGCCTATGTACAATCTTAGTAGTTACCCTCCTCCCCGGTACTCCAGTTGTCCACGGCCTGGTCCTGGCGGTTTACCCTCTCCCCCTACCCCTATCCCTTCTTCTATGAGTGGTGAGTGGCGCAGTCCACATTATAGTCCCTCTTTCCTGCATCCCGGTCAATTCCCACAGGGTATATCCACCGGTAGTCGGCCTCGTCCCTCCCGCCCCGCTCAGGCATCTCCCCCCTACATTGATCCCGTGCCCCCTCGCGGAGGTCTCGTCTCCGCTGAAGTATCTACACGTCCTCCCCCTCTCATTGATCCCGTGGGCCCTAGCCGAGGTCCCGGATCCACTGGAGTATCTACACGTCCAGTTACCACTATTGCATCATCAGGTACCAAATATCTATATTTAATTATTGTAATTATTTAATATTATGGAATTATTTTTAATTAATTATTTTCACTTATATTTATTGAATTGTTGTATGTGTATAAAATATAATAAATAATATTTGGCTTACTCATTCATGATACAGGCGGCAGCAGCCAGTCGAGAGTTTCTGATGAAATTGATCCGACTATATGGCTAGTGACAGATGAAGTACCTGGTGGGCCGATAGATGGTAGCGTGATTCCTAGCTTCCTTGGGCATATTGCTTATCATTTCTGGCATGGATACAATAGACCCACATTGAAGATTTTTAAAGGCCAAAAGATTCTGAATAAGTTGAAGATGTGGTATAAAGATATGGATGATGTAGTGAGAGGCAAGATTCGGGGGACTGGATTGGGTAACCTTCTTCATACCTCGTATGAAGATATTGATCTTGGCTTAGTTCAGGCATTTGTTGAGAGGTGGCAGCCGGACACCAACTCATTTCATTTCCCGTTTGGGGAGATGACCATCATGATGCATGATGTTTATCATATTTTGGGCATTAGGGTTGATGGAGAGTTGGTGTCAGGTACATCCGAGACAGATGTGTTGAGGGGACATGCAGCAGGGATACTTGGCCTGGATGTGAATGGTTACAAATGGAGTCATGGCGGTGTCTCTGATTGGTCATCCTTGAGCAATGCCAGAAAGCGGACGAGAATACCCAGGCCTCTACTTTCTTGTGGGTATTGTTGGCCTCGACGTTGTTCATGGGCAAGAGTGGTGGGAGGTGCAGTGTTTCACTTGTACATGAGCTGATGTCTGGGATCGAGAATATGGGTTCATACTCGTGGGGCTCTGCTACGCTTGCGTTCCGATACCGTCAGTTAGGGATGGCTAGTAGGCCAAAGTGCACTCAGTTAGGTGGTTATTTGACCCTACTGCAGCCCTGGATATACGAGTATTTCCCGATTTTCCACCCCCAAGGAGGGCGAGTTACCCGTGGGGGTAATGATAGGCCCATAGTACATGACTGGATACCACCATCTTTTGCGGGGCCGACATCTGTGCCAGATCGTCTTCGTCAGGTTAGGGAGCGTCTCGACCGTTTCACCGAGTTAGAGGTACATGATTGCTTCATTTGACTGTATTTCATTTTATTTTTTGAAAATTATATTTATAAATAATCTAAATAATATTTTGCAGGTAAAGTGGAAGCCATTTGGACCTGGCCAACAAGGAATAGTTCCGAGGACTATCTACAGTAGGTGGATAATGTATAGGAACTTGCAGGAGCCATACATGCCGGACAGATGTATACGTCAGATTGGCTACGTACAGAGTATTCCTCGTTCGCCCATGTCCCCTAATGATGCATCCCGAGGACCTAGGACTACCCAGTACTTTGTAGAGCATTCTGCTGTTGACATACTCAGTACTTGGAGGAGATTCCCGGAGTCAGCGTGTATTAATTTGACCAGATGGCGACCCAATATCGGTGACATCGTAGGAGAGTGTGAGGATGGGTACCTTAAATGGTACAGGCAGTATTCACATCCATTTCCGCTGCCGACAACTGACCCATCTGCAGTTTCTACACCAGCTAGGAGCAGTCAGGATTATGTAAGTTGTATTTTTAATATTTGGGTTTTTGTAGATATACATTTCTATATTATAAATAGTTTAACCTTTTTTGGTTTTTATTTTTTCAGTGGATGAATGAATTGATGAAGCTGACGACGGATCTGATTAGAAAGGTCAAAGTGTCCGATCGCGACCTAGCTGACGAATATGATGAGAAACTGCAGGATACGATGATCCGTTATTACAAGGCCCCATGATCATTGTCATTGTCGTATTATTGGACTGGATTTGTTTGTTTTTCTGTTTCTTGGACTGCATTTAGTTTTTTTTTATGCGCAAATTGTGTGTTATATATGAGTTAGCTTATTTGGTATCCGTGTGGTAAGTTTTTTTTTTTTTTTTATGGCCAACAAGGTTTGTTATTGCACAAATCATAAAAAACAAACAAATTAGATACTAGATAATACCAATGTCTAGTTCACAACAAACAAACAAATATGAATCTAATCTAAGAAACTAAGATCAATGAAATCATTAGCATAATCCCCAACAGGACGTCCAGGATTGGAGGGGACCAACTTATACCAATCTTGAATTCTAGGAAGAAGTGGTAATTCCCAACCAGCAACGCTAGGCTGATGTTCCTTAGTCCACCGATTATTGATCGGTGGAACTGGAAAGTCACGTCCAAACTGATGTTCCTTAGTCCACCAATCTCCAGCATTCGACTATAATTTCCTAACAATCTATTTTTGACCATTTTTTCGGAGAGAGTGGAACTCCTAAGTACTTCATTGGAAAGGAACCAATTGAGAACTTAGTAATATCACAAATCTCTTCCTGTATTTTACTATCTACCCCACCAAAATAAAGAGATGACTTCTGCAAATTAGCAACCAGGCTTGTGGTTCTGGAAAATGCATTGGACACCTTCATAATCTTTTTAACAGTATTAACATCTGCTTTGCAGAAGATCATGAGATCATTTGCAGAGCAAATGTTGGTCAACCTAAGTTCTTTGCACATAGGGTGAAAGCTAAACCCCGAACCAGCAACTCTCCTTAAGCTCCGTGTTAAGTATTCCATAACTAAAACAAACAGCAATGGCGAAATTGGATCGCCGTACCGTAATCCCCTTCTCCCAGGAAAAAACCCCACATTACTACCATTAATCGAGAGGGAGAAAGTAGGCGTGGTAACACAGCTCATAATCCACTGTCTAAACTGCTCCGGAAATCGAAACCTTACCAGCATTTCGTAAACAAAGTCCCATTCTACACTATCATATGCCTTTTTTAAGTCTATTTTCATCACCAATCTCCACCTTATACCTTTCCTTCTATACAATCTGATTAGTTCTTGGGAAATCAATACATTATGTAAAATGTACCTATCTTTTACAAAAGCATTCTGGCTTTCATCTATAATTTCAGGCAGTAACAACTTCAATCTATTATAAAGGATCTTTGAGATGCATTTATATAAAACATTACAGCATGCTATTGGTCGAAACTGACTAGCATTCAAGGGTGTATCTACTTTAGGAATAAGAGCCAAAATAGTAGAGTTAAGTTGTTTTAATAACTGACCCGAATTACAAAACTCCAGTAAACCTTCTGTGACTTCCTTTCCAACGATGTTCCAGGTTGATTTGAAGAAGCCTGCTCCAAACCCATCCGGCTCGGGGCTTTTGTTGATGTTCATTTCCCATAGAGCTGCTTTAACTTCTTCTCCTCTTATTGGCTTGATTAAGTTGAGCTGTTGTTCCACTGTCAGTTTCGGCCTAGCTTTGAACACTTCCCCATCTGAAAGTTCTCTGACAGCAGACTGCCCTAACAATTGCTGATAAAACTTAAAAAATGATGTTGTATTCCATTCCAGTCACTAATCTCCTTTCCACTCTCCTCCACCACACTCCATATTTGGTTTCGCATATGCTTCACCTTCAAAACTGAATTGAAGTATTTGTGTTTTCATCCCCTTCTGCAATTCACTGTGCTTTGGCTTTTTGTTGCAGAAAGCTTAATGAAGCTATTCTGGATTGAGTATATTGGCTATACATATCTCTTTCCTTCTTCTGAATGTCTGAATTAGCTGGATCCTTAGCAAGTTCTTCCTGCAATGTCTACAACAAACCTTGTTCTCTGTTTGCTGTTTCTACTACATCTGCAAACTGGTCATAGTTCAACCGTCTCAACTGAGGTTTCAATCTCTTCAACTTAGTGACCACTTGAAACATTTTCGTCCCTTTTACTTCCTGGTTCTAATTGCTTTCAACTATGCTCTGAAACTTATCAGACAAACTCCACATATTAAAGTAGCAGAATGGCTCATGTTGCTGCTGTCGCCCAGTATAAATGTCCACAACCATAGGGGCATGGTCATAGATCCCTTCCATCTTCATCGAGGCCCTTGATTCTAGAAAGTCATCCACCCAATCTTCATTAACCAAAGCTCGTTCAAATCCCAATCTTTGGTTACACCATGCATAAACCTTCCCCGTATATATAAGATCTATCAATCCACATTCCTCCAAACACAACTGAAAATCTTCATATTCTGGTAGTAACACTGGTCTACCTTCCATCTTCTCTTCTGGCTTAAGAACATTGTTAAAATCACCCATGATAAGCCACGGTATTTTAACATTTCTAGATATCCCAATTAGGCCATTCCATAACTCTTTCCTCTCTTCCTGATCATTCGAGGCATAAATTCCCGTAAAATGCAAAAAATACATTATTTGCTTTCATTTTTACTAGACAATGTAAACATTGAGCCGATTGATAGCTCACTTGCACTTCCATGCTGTCATCCCAAAACAGCAGGATTCTACCACGTTCATTGCTTCGATAATTTGTCTCCCATTGCCAACCACTCCAGTACTGCTGCTGATATTTCTCTCCTCTGTCCTTCACCAATGTAGACTCAACTACACATACCATATTATATTGGTTCACTGTTACCATCTTATTCAACTCCTTTTGCTTCAGGGGGGAGGGGGGAGTTCAAACCCCTTATATTCCATGTCAGGATACTACACATGTGGACAAGGTCTAGGATCATGCATAGAAAAATCACTTTCCTCCTGCAACCTAATCAGTTTACCATTATCATTAACAGTTTTGTTGGTTATCCCTGAGTGGGACTAACCATCAATTGTTTCCTGAGTATTGATAATCTGATTATCTACACTCCTACTCTGACTAGCCTTTCATTGTCATCATTATCTTTCCTTCTATCACCACTAAGTTCCCTATGTGGTGGAACACCAATGGAGGTTACCACACTGTTGCCTTCCACTTTCTCCTTTCTTTTTGACATTTACAGGCTCCCTTGCTATCTTCTTCCATTCTGTTTGAGGTGTTTTTGGTTTATTATCCTTGCTTTCAATCTTCTTTCTGCATATGTCAGTTAAGTGACCATACCCCTTACAACATGCACACCTAGCAGGCATCCATTCATAATCAACCTTCTGTATCTGCACCCTTCAACATTCATCCTCAAACACAATCTTCTCTGGTACTGCTTCACTAATCTCCATTCAACTAAAATACGAGCGAAATGAACTCTGCTTTTCTTAACAGTGTGTTCATCAGCCTCTATAGGTCGACCAATTGTACTAACCAAGCCACTAATTGTTTCTAAATTCCAGTATATGATTTCCAGACCATATAGTCAAATCCAAACAGGTACCTTATCCACATCACGATAACTTAATCCTTTTTCAACATTCCAAGGCTTCACAATAAGGGGTTTTAATCCAAATTGATACATATTAACACTGAGAACTTCCTCTCTAGCATGCAAAGTGTTGAATCTAACCACAAACAAACCACTAGGGAGATGAATTACCTTATCAACACCACGTCGTCCCCAAATTTTTTTCAGATAATCTTCCATGACCCATATTGGTGGATTGGCACCTATCACAAAGCACACAACGGAGGACTCCCAATATTCAGCTTCCTTCTATACATCCTCCGTCCGAACTGTGTATCCCATCCACTTGTCGTGGTTGAACAAATTGATGCTTCCCCAATGCCTTATGAAATTTGTTACCATCTGATTGAGCCCACGCGTTCTGTTTACCCTCCAGTTCCACCTTATCCCCCCATGATAATTGTCGCCTAGGGTTATTTGTTGGAACCCTAGATTCCAAACGATCCTGTTCCTGTCCCGATTTGCAACCATCACTGAGTTTTCTTTTCTCTCCCATCTGAACTGCATCTGAAATCGCTGGTGAAATCATCTGATTAGTATAGCCACCTTCGATTGTAGCCACCAGTTGACTCAACTCTTCCTCTTGACGCGAAATCGCCTTCTTCATTGATTTATTTACTTTCAAACTCTCACCCACTTGTGTCTTTTTCAATTGACTAGTTTCATCCTTTGATAATAGATCTAATTCCCCCTTTGGTTTCATTTTCTTCTCTTCCTTCTTCCTGCCTGCCATGGCAGGCGCATGTTAGTAGAGCGAAGAGAGAGAAATTTTTGTTATTGTATATTATTACTCTTATCAAATATGGTTCACCAAATGAACCAAAGCATGAAAGGATAAAGACATGATATCAGGCAACACTTCTTTGAGCCAAAAATGTTCTTGTACTCCGGTGACAATCTCAAACTAAGATTTCACATCTCCACATCTTAATTTTGTGGTATGCCGGTTGTAGATTGTTTGAACAATTTTATAACCATTTCGAATGTTTAGAGTTAGCTAAATAGTACTCCCCCGGTCCTTAATAATAAGACATTTTGATATGTCTTAAGTTTCATTTGGTATGCATTTTTAATTGATGAAAAAATCTTAAAAATATTTCACAACAATCAAGAGAATACAAATAATGTAAAAACATATTATTAAAGTTTTTTTATCAATTAAAAATGTGTAACAAATAAAATTTGGAACAAATCAAAATGCCTTATATTAAGGACCAGAGGGAGTACTTTCTTACCTTGAATGATATAATAAGGGTAACCAGCAACATCTTAAATTATTAGATTGTTAACGTACGTTATTATTTCAAATTGGCGCAATAAGCGTGTCATGTCTATAAACCACAATCAACATGAATTTGAAAATTGATATCTTTATCCTTCATTGACATGACCATTTTAGAACTCTCCTCCACTTGTAGAAACTGTTGAAAGGATCGTCATTGGACACTAATTAACAGGGAAAAAAAAAACTTTGTTAATTGAAGTCAGAAATTTCTCCCTTATTTGTCCTTTTTCTTGCAAAGGTATTTAGTGAGGTTTTTCGAGCTAATTTAAAAAGTTTTAATCCTTCCGAGTTCAGAGTTCAGACCATTTGTGCTGAAAAGATAAGAAAAAATACCGGTATTGGCGAGTTCTTAATGACTAATGTCTAACCCAGCTATAGCTATCCAGTTGATACAAAAAGAAAAATCATTTTTTGTGTATATCTTTTCCTTCCATTTTGTTGTGCTATTTTCATAAATTACTATTCCGTCCGTCCCACAAAAATAGTTCACATTGAATTTTATACTATTTTTAGTACAAATTTGAAAACTCAATGTGGACTATATTTTTAGAACGGAGGTTGTATTTTAAAAAAATGGGAGTGAAGGAATAAGTAACATAAGCTTAAGAATTTGTTTTTGGGAAGTTTAAAATTGTTATGGTCAATTACAGAGGATTTTTTCTTTGTGAGCACTAGATAATAATATATTCATACTTCTTCTCACATTGTTATTGTTGGGGGTCAACCTTGACCTACTTTGACCGGCCCAACCAACCATCCTGCTTGGGCCTGTCTTTTAAGCCCAAGCAGCCCATTCATTCCTTCCTAAAGGCCCATCCGGGTTGTAAGGAATAAACTCTTGTTTGTTTACGGTTTTGCCCCTCCCAACACCGGGGCCCACAGGTATTGTCCCATTGGGACCTATAAATACTCTTTGCTCATTTATTGCTAATTCAATTCCACACTCCCGTTTCTCTCTCTAAGTGTGACAATTACCTGCTTCTCTCCCTAGAACTGACTTGATCTTCGGAGTGCTAACCTCTATTTTGCAAGTTCCCGTCTAGGTCGGACCATTGACTCTCCACCCCAGGGATTTACCCTCGACAAGTGGCGCCGTCTGTGGAAAATCCATTCCCGTTTGGCCGAGGGCAAATCCAGTTGTTCTACGAGAGTAATGGTCTCCACCTGGACAAGGCCCGACGAAGGGACGAGACGCAGGCCTGGATTGAGATCGAAGGTGGTAGGGTGGAGTTCCCGTGTATCCGCCCGGTCCCGCAGAGAATGCCGAGACAAGGAGGATACCGAAGGGGCTTCCCAAACTAATGATCGTCAGGGTCGCTCCAGGAGGTCTGACGACCCTCGGGAGGGCCGCAACCACAAATCAGCCGAACACCGGAGGAGCCAATCCCGCCGGACCAGTAAAGAAGCAGAGAGGAGCAAAGAACCTTCCAACTGTCCTCGTCTGTCCCGTTCTCTTGAACGAGGACCACATGATGACCGCTTCTGGAGATCCTTTGCCGGAAGATTCCCTGGATTCGAAGAGCAATTCAAAAAGTTCGAGGACATGTATTATGGAGGCAGAGGCAAAGGTCCGGACGACAGCCTCATGTTCATGGGGGAACGGAGGGTCTCTCGGGGTCGAGATCGATCCAGAGAACGCGACCCTAAAACCCCACCAAGACCCGAGCCGCAGGTGGACCGCGAGGGTGTGTCAGATCCCCGACTCGAGGCTATACTCAACAATAGGGAGACACTGGAAAGTCCTTTCGCTGAGCATATCCGGAGTTGTCCGCGGCCGGTAAACCTAAAACTACCAACGGACATCCCGAAGTACGGGGGTGATACCTGTCCAGTTAGCTTCTTGGCCGATTACACCGCGGCCATGGATTTGCGAGACTCACCCCGGGAGTTCTCTGCTAAAGCGATGCCCACCTTCCTAACAGGGGCCGCTAAGATATGGTTCGATAACCTTCCCTCGGGAAACGTTACTTCTTACGCGGACTTAGGGCAAAAGCTCCACGTCCGATTCTTTTCCAGCAAGAGAGCCAAGCGCACCATACATGACTTGTCTTCGGTTCGCTAGCGTCGGAACGAGTGTCTGGGGGAATACTACGAGAGGTTCACAAAAGAACTCATGATGATAGATCAGGTCGACGATTTGGTGGTTAGGGTCGAGTTCGTGAACGGCCTCTCTCCCTTTGGTGCGGGCGCTACCCTGAGGAGCAAGCTCACGGCTAAGCCCCCGGGCACTACCCAGAGGTTGTGGGAAATAGTCGAAAAGGAGATCCGGACAGATGAGTCCATGAAGAGAGCCAGAGAAGCTTTTGCCGAAGGCGAGAAGAAAACAGGGAAGCCGGAGGCGAAGAAACTCAACATCGGATCTCCGAAGTTCGAGTCCAAAGTACCTGTCCTCACCAAAACTAGAAAGGAGAGTCTTCAAATTCACAAGAGTGAGTTCAAGCTTCCACCCCCGGGTCGGTCTCAGAATGAATCCTCATCTGAATGGTGTGACTTTCACCGAAGTAAGAGGCATGATACCGATGATTGCTACAGGCTGAAGAAGGAGATTGAGGAGGGCCTTAAGGCGGGTAAATTCTAGGATTGTTTCCAGAAGGGGTCCCAAGAAAAAGCACCAGGTCAACCCAAGAATCGGAGGTGGAAGAAAAACAAAGCTAAGACCGCCAACCAGGTCCCCGTCAGGGACGGGGCCAAAGCCCAGGATGGTGTCGATCCGGCGCAGGCACTGCAGATTTTGGCCGCTCCTGTGGGTGCTGTCTATGGGGCGCCCTTGGGGGTCTAGAGTGTTTCCGCTCTCTGCAGGAGTTCGCGCCCCCGACCGCCGGATGAGTCCGAGCTAAACGCGTCCGTCCCGGGGAGGTGATATCTTTCTCAGAACAAGATTTGGTAGGTGGATCCGAAGATTATTCCGACGCGTTGGTCATCACGGCCATAGTCGCCAACCGGGAAGTTCGACGAGTATACGTTGATAATGGCAGCGCAGTGGATGTCATGTACGGTGATTGTTTCCAGAAGTTGGGCCTTGACAAGACCCAACTCTGCCCCACGTCCATACCTTTGGTCGGCTTTTCTAACCACGTGATAATGCCGTTAGGCATAATCAGCTTGGCTGTTACCGTAGGGACTTATCCCAAGGATCAGGTAATTCTCATCGACTTTGCAGTGGTGGACGTCGTGGCCCCTTTCAACATCATTCTGGGGCGGCCCTGGATGAGTCAGGCAAAGGCCGTTTACTCGCCATATCATTTGGTTATGAAGTTTCCGACCGAGGCTGGGATTGCAGAAGTTCGGGGAGATCAACAATTGGCGCAACAGTGCATGGTTATCGCCGCAAAGAAAGGGCGTGACTTCCTTCAGGGAAGGATAACCATCAGGTCCGTCCAGGAAGCCCTGGTCTCTGAAGACGAAGACCAAGGAAACGACGACCCTGGGCCCACGGATGACGAGGTTACGGATGTGGCCCTGAATCCTTTTGTAAAAGGAAGGGTCGTCAGCTTAGGAGCGGTTTTGCCCCGCAGTCTTCGGGACATGGTGGTTGAATTGTTGAAGCAGTTCGAAGATGTCTTCGCTTGGAGTCCCAGTGACATGACAGGGATTCCTCCCGAATTAGGCGTGCACAAACTGAATGTCAACCCTACCGCGCGGCCCATACAGCAGAAGAGGCGGAAGATGGCTCCCGAGCGCAATGCCGCTATCGATGTGGAGGTTACTAAGCTGTTGGCCGCGTCCATCCTCAAGGAGATCTTCTATCCCACATGGTTGGCCAATCCAGTCATGGTCAAGAAGCCCGACTCTTCTTGGCGTATGTGTGTGGATTATAAGGATCTCAATAAACACTGTCCTAAGAATTGCTACCCTCTTCCGGCAATCGAGCAGAAGGTCGATGCTATCTCGGGATACCCGGTGCTCAGCTTTCTGGACGCGTACAAAGGGTACCACTAGATCCTGATGCACGAGGATAATGCAGAAAAGACGACTTTCGTCACTGAAAAGGGAGTGTTCTGCTATGTAAAAATGCCCTTCGGTCTAAAGAACGCGGGTGCTACTTACCAACGTGTGGCTAATCACGTCTTCGGGGACCAGCTGGGGAGAAACATAGAGGTCTACGTGGATGACATGGTGGTGAAAAGTCATCGGATGGACCTTGTTGTCAACGACCTCCAGGAGACCTTCCAGGCCCTCAGAGCGGCTAATATGAAGTTGAACCCGAAAAAATGTGTGTTCTGCGTCGGATCAGGAAAGTTTCTAGGTTACCAGATTTCTCGGAGAGGGATCGATGTGGACCCTTTGAAGATTAAAGCCATCTTGGAAATGCAGCCCCTGCGGTCCGTCAAAGAAGTACAAAGGCTTACTGGCTCTATTGCCGCCTTAGGGCAATTTCTGTCGAAGGCGACCGAACGAAGCTTGCCATTTTTCCAGGTTCTCAAGAAATCCGATACCTTCGGCTGGACCGAGGCTTGTCAGAAGGCCTTCATGGAACTTAAAGAACACTTGAGGACTCTCCCGACCCTGAGCACACCGGACCCTGGGGAAACTCTGATTCTGTACTTAGCCGTGGGCGAGTCCACGGTGAGTGCAGCCTTGGTGCGGGAACATAAGGGAAAGCAGATCCCTGTTTATTATGTCAGTAAGGTCCTCCTTCCCGCCGAGTCTCGGTACACCCCTGCTGAGAAGTTGATTTTCTGCCTCGTGACCGCGGCCCGGAAGTTGCGCCCCTATTTCTAGGCGCACTTCATCCTCGTGCTTACGGACCAGCCCTTGCAGCAGATTCTCCAAAGGTCCGATACATCGGGCCGGATAAATATGTGGGCCGTAGAACTCGGGGAGCACGACATAGAATTTCGACCCCGGACCTCTATCAAGGGTCAAGCTTTGGCCGATTTCCTTCTCGAAGTCCCTCGGGGTGTGGAAGCCGAGGCTAGTGAACGGTGTCAAGCCCCTGAAAGATCTTCCCCCGCCGGGCAGCAACTATGGATTTTGTTCGTCGACGGGTCTTCCTCTAGAGAAGATTCAGGCGCGGGCGTGGTTCTGATCGATCCCCACGGATCGGAAATTGTTTATGCTATCCAGCTGGATTTTCCTGCCACAAATAATGAGGCTGAATATGAAGCACTGATCGCGGGACTATCTATCACCCGCGCGCTCGGTGTTCAGGAAATCTCAGTTTGCAGTGATTCTCTGGTCTTCGTCAACCATGTTCTTCGGTTGTACGAGGTTCGGGAGGTGGTACTCCAAAAGTATCTTCGGAAAGTCAGGGTGTTGGAACGCAGCTTCCGTGTTTTCCACATTCGGTATATACCGGGGTCGCAGAACAAGAGGGCCGATGCCCTGAGCAAGTTAGCTTCTTCCCGCGCTGTGGACCTAGCCCGGCAAATTCACATGGAAGTCAGGACGTGTCCGAGTATCCTGGACGACGAAGTCTTGCCTGTGACGATGGATGAGGTATCCTTGATGACACCCTTTGTCCAGTACCTCCAGACATGGGCATTACCCGCGGACCTAGGAGAGGCCCGAAAGATTCGGCTCAAGGCGCCTAAATACGTGATGAGGGATGGCATCCTCTACAAGCGAGGGTACCTATCACCCTGGCTGCGCTATGTCGGGCCGCAGGAGGCTGAGACGTTGATCAGAAGCATGCATGAAGGCGCTTGTGGGGCTCACTTAGGTTCACGTAATCTGGCCAAGAAGCTTATCCACGCCGGATATTACTGGCCTACCTTGTCCCAAGATTGCTACAACATCGTCCTTCGGTGAGCGTAATGCCAAAAACATGCCCCTATTCCGCATCTACCCCAGTATGAGATGGTCCTAAATGGCAGCCTGTGACCTTTCTACAAGTAGGGAACGGACATAATAGGGCCTTTCCTATTGGCCCCGGGTAAGCCCAAGTTCGTGATCGTCGCAATTGACTACTTTTCTAAATGGGTTGAAGCGGAACCTCTGGCCTCCACCACAGGGGCAAACGTTGTCAAATTCTTCTGGAAGAACATTGTCTGCCAGTTTGGGATCCCGAAAGTCCTTATCTCAGACAAGGGGACTCAGTTTGAATCGAGAATTTTTAAATCCTGGTGTGAGCAGCTCGGGATCGAACAGCGATTTTCGTCTGTGGCCCATCCTCAGGCCAACAGGTTGGCTAAAAATATAAACAAGGCCATCTTACAGGGTATGAAGACACGACTTAAGAGAGCCGAGGGGCTATGGCCTGAGGAGTTGGCCCACGTCCTCTGGGCCATCCGCACCACTATGAGGACGGCCACGGGGGCAACCCTTTTTAGCCTCGTTTATGGCATGGAAGCCGTTCTCCCAGTTGAAATAGAGGTGTCCAGTCCTCGGGTGGTTCACTTCGCGGAGGAAATGAACGAAGATGAAATCCGCCTTTGCCTCAATTTCCTAGACGAAAGACGAGACCTGGCCAAAGCCCGCGAATCCAAATACAAGCAGCTCATGGCCAAGTACTACAATGCCAAGATCCGGGCTCGGAACTTTGAAGTCGGAGACCTGGTCCCCAGACGAAATGAGGCGAGCCACGCAGAACCAACCGGAAAACTAGCTCCGAATTGGGAAGGACCATACAAGGTTGCGGAAGTTTCTCCCTCAGGAAGTTATCACCTGCGCACATGTGACGACGAGCCTCGCGACATTCCCCAATGGTGGAACATCCAGAACCTTAGAAAGTTCAATATCTAAAGGCTTCTGCCTACTTTTGTAATATATATTAGCCAAGTAGAACTCCGGCACTTTTGCTGTTAAATACTACTTCCTGTGCCTTCGTAAGAATCCCATCCTTCCTGAAGTCGTCTCGACCCCAGTGGCCGATAGCACCGTGTGGCCTCTGCGGCCTACGGAACCCTTACGGTCTCTGTGACCTTGGGGCATTTACAAACCTGTCTCAACCCCAGCGGCCGACGGAACCGTGTGGCCTCCGCGGCCTACGGAACCCTTACGGTCTCCGTGACCCTGGGGCATTTACAAAGCCGTCTCGATCCCAACGGGCGACGGCACTGTGTGGCCTCCGCGGCCTATGGAACCCTTACGGTCTCCGTGACCTTGGGGCATTTACAAAGCCGTCTCGACCCCAGCGTCCGACGGCACCGTGTTGCCTCCGCGGCCTACGGAACCCTTACGGTCTCTGTTACCTTGGGGCGTTTATAAAGTCGTCTCGACCCCAGCGTCCGACGGCACCGTGTGGCCTACGCGGCCTACGGAACCCTTACGGTCTCCGTGACTTTGGGGCATTTATAAAGCCGTCTCGACCCCAGCGGCTGACGGCACCGTGTGGCCTACGCGGCCTATGGAACCCTTACGGTCTCCGTGACCTTGGGGCATTTACAAAGCCGTCTCGACCCCAGCGGCCGACGGCACCATGTGGCCTCCGCGGCCTACGGAACCCTTACGGTCTCCGTGACCCTGGGACATTTACAAAGTCGTCTCGACCCCAGCGGCCGACAGAACCATGTGGCCTCTGCGGCCTACGGAACCCTTACGGTCTCCGTGACCTTGGGGCGTTTACAAAGCCGTCTCGACCCCGGCGGCCGACGGCACCGTGTGGCCTACGCGGCCTACGGAACCCTTACGGTCTCTGTGACCTTGGGGTATTTACAAAGCCGTCTCGACCCTAGTGGCCGACGGCACCGTGTGGCCTCTGCGGCCTACGGAACCATTACGGTCTCCGTGACCTTGGGGCATTTACAAAGCTGTCTCGACCCCAGCGGCCGACGGCACCGTGTGGCCTCCACGGCCTACGGAACCCCTACGATCTCCGTGACCTTGGGGCATTAACATAGCCGTCTCGACCCCAGCGGCTGACGGCACCTAGCAGATCCCGTGGCAACGGAATTCCTAAGGTTCTCGCGGCCCTTGACCAGGTACGGTTTAACTAAACATCAACAATATTATCACAACATTAGTAATACAGTTGAAATGTAAAATCCGGGAGAAGATACTCATATTACCTCCGTCGGATCGTAGCAAAGAACGCCGGCAATACACAGAATTTTATATATACAACCGTAAAAGCTTGAATAATAATAAAATAAATAAATGAGGAAAAGCAAAAACGAGTCGATGTTCAAAAATGACGAATCAATTATAAATGTGTGAATTTTCGAAGGTATGGCCCTCGGTTCTATACACTTGGCAAAAACACACCTAAAATCACCTAGCAACCTAATTACACCAAAAATCACCTAACAACCTAATTACATGTCCCTAGTAAGACCCTCGACCTAACTCAAAAAATAAAGCATCATTCTCATATATCAGGCGTTCGGCTTTGCGAGTTGGAGAAGTGGGGTCGTCTCACATGGCCAGACAGGGCTCGGGCCACAACGCCTCAAAATCATACTCCTTCCCCGTCTTTACAATGAAGGATATCGCGTTTTCCAAAGCTGCCCGAAGCTGACCCGCATACGCCCGGAGAGCCTCAATCTTGTCGGAGGACCGATCCCACTTTACAGCAACCAAGGCGTAAGCCTTCCGGAAATGCACCAAGACGCTCTCGAAATAGTTACGGGAAATAAAATCCTCTGGGTCTGGTTCGGCAAAGCCCTCGTCCTTCTTTTTCTTCCATATCTTGGCTTCGAATGTCCGGAAGTGATTGTTAGCCAATATCTCTAACTGTATAATGTTTTTCAGGTGATCCTCCCAATAGGCCTCCGTATCCCTCCATAACTTATCCAGCCGGTCGTTTTCGGCCTTCGCCTCGATGACGGCCCTGCGTGCCTCGTGCAGCTCCGAGGCCCTGAAAGTTTCCAAGGCCTCTTCCAGCTGGCCCTCGAGACCCGACAGTCGTCCTCGACTCCTGTCGACGTTTAGATCCACCAAGGCGCTTCCTACAGCCGCATACAGTGGAAAGGTCGTTGGGTCATGATGAGGATCGGGAAATTGTAAGTCGATCTAGGAAATCCCAGACGTTTCCCAATGACCCGAAGTCGGGGGCACGCCTCGAGAGGTTCCCTCGGGCTGGGGGGGAAGTTCGAAGCTGCATCCTTTCCCTGTAAGGAAGCGCGTGTTAATGGAAAGGTTAGGAGGCGCGTATCCCCAGAGGTAAAAATAAGCTTGAGCCGACGAACAAATACTTTATAAACGAACATAATTATGATTGATAAATAAACGAACATAGTTGTAATTGATAAGCGAACAAGTTTGAAACAAGTAAGGAAACGAGAGAATAATGAATCGGCCGTGAATAAATTAGAAATTCATTAATACTCGGTTAAAATTCATAAATACAACAGGGAGAAAGCCCCGAAGATAGGTGATCACTAGGAGGAGTTCTAACCCTACGCATCGTTTACCTTGTCTCCGCTGTTGGTGTTGGAGTCGGTCGAGGTGCCCCCTCCTCCGCGGCTTCCAGAGTTGTGCCCTTGGGGTGGTGGTGCAGGTCCGATTATCTCCAACTCCTCATCGGGCCCCTGCAGTGTGCTCGGAGGCGTCTGTGTCTCCCTCGGCATCTGAAAGACGAAGGATGGGATGCTCGGGATATTTAGAATGTCTTCGAGCTTCGAAATAGAGGGGCAAGTCCCGGCGATCTGTTGCATGATGGGGAGATGCGCGAAGTCCATATCCCGAAAGTACTTCCGGGCCTTGCACCGCAGCCTTACCGCGGACGTCTTTCCCTTCATCTCCCTATCGGCATATTTGTCGAGGATGGGTTGGATGTCCTCGTTCTTCCTCCGAGCCGCCTCGATCTCTATAACGAGCTTCCTCGCCCCTCTTTCCATGACGGGGTCCATGACGTCGTTTATCCCGAGGGCGAACTCGGACGACCCCAAGTACCTCTGGACTCCCGCGAGAATGTACGCGTTCAGACGAGATTTGGGGACGCTTGTTGCCACCAGACTCTCCATTTGAAGACTATGGGTCAGTTTCATGCCTTCGAGCTACCCCTTCATCCTCGTGACCTCCTCCTCCAGTCGCTCCCTCTCTTCTTCCAAGGCCTGAAGCCGTGTCTCCGCCTCTCGGGCTTTGTTGGCCTCACTGACGGCCTTCCTCCTGGCCAAAGCCAGCTGTCCTTCCAAGTCCGCGCACACGGACACGAAGGAGTTTACTGCCTGCACAGCCTGCATGACGGATACCCTTGGTCATTAAGGGAACCCTCCCAGTACGAAGAGTAAATACTTAGGCAAAAAATATTACCTATCTCCTGCCGTCCTCCAGCCGCGGTGCTCCGGTGGCGGGCAAGTCCGCGCATTCGACCTGTGGAGGGTCGAACGTCAGTAGGGCGTGACCCTCGGGTACGCCCTCGAACTGACCTGCCCCCCGCCCTTGATCCTTATACCCCTCCTTCAAAAGTTCGTCAATGGAGGATAGTTCGTGGATCGCGGGTAAGCTGAAGGACAGAGGGTCGACCTCCACCACCTCGGGATCGCCCCGCTTCCTTTTTTGATGACCCGAGGGGTTCCTCTTCCTCGAACTCTCTGCGCGCACCCGCGTCATCTGACCGGGGGGCGCCTGACCCATTTCCTGCTGGGGGGTTCCTTGCGGCCTCTCCTCAGGATACTGCTCCTCCTCGTCTGAATCATCAAAAGCCGAGCGTTTACCCATCAGATTAGCAAATATACCTATCAACAGAAAAATAACCACAGTTAGTCTTCGAGTAAAATACCTTGGTTAAGGGAGCTGATTGTATCACTTAACGACACGATTTGCCTATAGGTGTAGGTCTTCTTCCACCCGACCAATTTCTCTAAGTCCCCCCTCCAAGCTTCCATGTCTTTCTTATCCTTCTTGGTCCACGGATCTAAGCTGATCGTTCCTCCCTCGTCCGGCGTTCACGGAAAGAGGGCGACGAAGTCCGCGTCCACATAAAAGAAGCCTGACCTCCAATGCTTGGAACTCTAGTTCTTCGCTACTAATTCTTTGGACGGCCCGTGTAGATTTTTGGTGAAGCTGAACCACCTGGGGAAACTCTTCCCGCACCGGACGAGTTTGTAGAAACACCTAAATAAGAAAATATCCGGTTCCACCCCCGTCTTGTTACATACATGTACGAAGGCTAACACTATGGTTATGAGGTTCGGGGTGTATTGAGCTAGGGGTCGGCCGTAAGCCTCCATTATCATCCGGAACATAGGCATCAGGAGAAAGTGCAGCCCGTATTCCAAAAACTTCTCATAAATTGTGATTTTCCCCGGAGGGGGAGTACTGGCCCTCTCATGGCCTTCTGGTAAGGTGGGGTTGATGGCCGTAAGGCTATAGTGGTTTTCTAAATCACTTAACCTATCTTGGTTTAGCGAACACTCCACGTCCTCTACCCTAACTACCTCTTTGGCCATGCTGTAAACCGAACGTACAAAAGAAGAAGGAGACTTACTCGTTACTGGTCGATTAGAAACCGCAGTGGTCAGTCGCCGGCTATAATTCCGATGCTCGAACGGAAATGCTGCTCTGATTTGTGAAAAGAGAGAAGAGAATCGGAGCTCTGTACGTTTGAAATTTGAGAGCAAAGGGAAGAAAAATGATTTCCGGCGTCCTGTGGGGGGTTATATACTCCAAGGAAGGTGAACAGTTCCCTCGATTTTCCATCCAGAGCCATCATTGCGGCGCGGCCTCCCATGAAATCCTACACGTCCATCACATTTGGGCGGGAAGAATCCAGGGCCGTTGGATCTAGGGCGGTCAGGAGATGGAATATTCCGGAAGCTGGGCCGATTTGTTGGGCGTGCAATTTCTTTGTGTCAAGCCCAATCCAACTTTGCTGCAATGGGTTTGACAGGGGCACTTGTTGGGGGTCAACCTTGACCCACTTTGACCGGCCCAACCAACCATCCTGCTTGGGCCTGTCTTTTGAGACCAAGCAGCCCATTCATTCCTTCCTAAAGGCCCATCCGGGTTGTAAGGAATAAATCCTTGTTTATTTACGTTTTTGCCCCTCCCAACACTAAGGCCCACAGGTATTGTCCCATTGGGACCTATAAATACTCCTTGCTTATTTATTGCTAATTCAATTCCACACTCCCGTTTCTCTCTCTAAGTGAGACAATTACCTGCTTCTCTCCCTCGAACTGACTTGATTTTCGGAGTGCTAACTTCCGTTTTGCAGGTTCCCGTCTAGGTCGGACCGTTGACTCTCCGCCCCCGGGATTTACCCTCGACAGTTATGTTCATAGAGGTTAATATAATTAAAAGATGAGGAGTATATGGCAAGATATTAAGAGTAGCAGAACCTTGAATCCGTAATCCACACTCATAAGCACATGAAACACAAAAATAGAGAGAATTACATTCCCTTGCAGGGATGATGGAAGACTCTAAATTGATCGCTAGGCATAGCCCAAATATCGGATTTAGCGATTTTGATTGTAACAAAAGAAGGAATCATAAGATCCGCTGATCCAGCAGAAAGTTATGGACCACAAAAAGCTTGTTCTCACAAAACTTGGTTCTGCAGAGTTTGCTCTCCAGTTCTACGGCTTTCAAAGGGGAATCGGACATAAAACCACTGCTAGCTAAATCACAACTGCTACAGAACTTCTCCAAAGTCTCAACTCTATAACTTTCTCCTAAAACGTAAATCTGGAATCTGATATAAACGATATCAGTGGAAGTCTTAAAATTACTTCTAGGATCCTAGGGTAGCACAACTTCTTCACGAAGTATTACAATGTCTTGCCTGAGAAACAAAACTATCTCTGAAATCCAGTCACTTAACTTCTCTCTCTAGCTGCTAATCACAGCGGTCGAGATGCTTTACTTCATGAACACAACACAGTTGATGCAGCAATCATACTTGGAAGGACATCATGGGATGCAATGCTTAAGTCTGGCTGCATTGAGTTGGCAGTCATTCCTCCTTTTGCTGGCCTTAATAAATTAGTCACATTTGCAGCAGCACTGACCTGTTGCTCTCTAAGTCGTTCATCGCCGACAAGTTCCCTGCATAGCAATACCAGCGTCATATAATCCATTCTGATGTTTATGCTTTGAAACATTCAAGAGAAATATATATATATATATATATATATATATATATATATATATATATAGATTCTTCAAATTCCTGCACAACTACTGACTAAAATATTACAAACTGAACACAGACTGACATCCATCTTAAAGCACATATTTTATGCAAAAATAACTAGGATCAGATGATATCCTTCTGGTAGTGTTACACAATAATATAAGCGAAACTCGATTTCTAATTTCAAACGATTTAAACAATTAATGAGATGGCTACAGCAATCGATGAAGTAGCGAAACAATAGCTTACAGCAAAAATGATGCCAATTTTGAAGGTGTGCAATTCTGAAAGAGAGCTTCAGGGATTATAGCAGACTCCAAAAGAATATTTGGAAGAGAGATGTAAGGCACTCTGGCTTTGTAACGTATGATCCATTCTGTTAGAAGATGGGCACGGTAGGCAACCACGCACGGTAGTTGTGCTAGTAGCAACTCCACAGACACCGTTCCAGAAGTGCATAATGCCACCTTGCTGGCCTGCATCATTTAGAAAAAAAATAATAATAAAAATAAAAAAAATAAAAAAAATCAGGTGGCTACAATAATTCTCATCATCAAGCAAAATTCATGTCTTGTAAGAGAAGACAACCTAATGGAGAATGGAACAGAGAAAATTATCTAGAAGAATCAAAGTTAAAACGCACATCACAAACAGTCGATGTGACAGTTTTTCTATTTTTTTTTCCGTTTACAATGCGGCGATTGTAACCAAGTCGTGAAATTCTTATGACCCACACAAATATTCCCAGAATTGTTCCTTTCAAAAGCACTAAAGACTGCTGGGAGTGTCAATCCCCTAACACCGGCGACATATTATTATACTGAGACCATAATCGCATAACTGGTGCACTTGAAAAAAATCAACTTTAAAGGTACATCAAACATGAAAGCGAAACACAAATGTTGAACTAATCCACCAATCAATTCCAAACCTTCCTTATAAAGAGTTTTCAAGCATGTCACTGTAGAAGAGTGAGTTACCGTTATAACCCAGTCAATTTGAATGTCCTTTACCGTCTGAAAACTTCTCAATATTATTGTTGTTTTCTTACTCAAGTCCTCTGAAGAAAAACTGTGTTTTCTCCAATTAAAAAGTCCAAGGAACAGAGGGGTAACTCCAAACAAAATTATATTGTCAAGTGAAAATTTATGAGTCTCCTTATGGCATAATAATCAGCTCAGGTTCATATTCGTATGGAAACTTCTTTAAGCTAGACAATAACCCTAAAAGTTTCTTCTCAACGAAGTAATTATCAGATAATGCTTCCACAAGACTAAATGCCCTTACACTATTCATAGAAGCAAACTTGACCATTGCATAGCAACCCCAATAAAAACCCCTGAGCTAAAAACTAAAACAGCCATTTAATTTGGCTCATTGTTTAGGCTAGAAACTTTCATACAAGTATATAAATTAAAGATAAGTGTCATGTAAGCTTAAAAACCCGAAGTATATGCAACTTTTTGTTCAGGATTACAGTCCAGAGTATTAAATAACCCACCAACTATCGATCCAAATAACAAGAACAAAACATTTTCCATTTGCCTCTAGTCAGCCGAACTACGTATGTTCTTTAAGACAAATATAAATGGTACAAGAAAGAGATGAGAAGCCTTACACAAAATGCTTGGTACTTTAAGCTGGGAGATCCACCCGGAACCATCACAATAGGGACAGGCCACTCGCGCACAGCTCTATCCATAAAACCTTTGACATGTCGATTGGGTGCGACATGGACTATTGTAATCAATTCATTAATTGAATCTTTTAATAGCTCCACAGCATTAGAGAATATGGGAAGCATTCGTGTAACTTCCTGTATTCTGCTTCCAGGAAGCAAGCTAATGACAGTAGATCCTTCAAAATAAAAAAGAAACTGTGAGCAATTATTAAGTTCCAGACCTTGAAACAAAAGCAAACTGTCTTGAAACAAAAGCAAACTGTTAAAGGCTAACATGTCTTCTCACATAACTGCATGCATGAGATTTGAAATACACAGAAGATATGGTAGAAACTGCTTCAATTAGTCCAAAATGACTTATTAGACGTCAGAAAGTTCCACTCCAATTGCCTTCGTGCAGCCTGTTATTTCTCAGATATGCATCCAGGCACAAAAGCTTGCTGAAATTTAACCGGAAGACAGCCATTGGTAAATAAAATGTTATCATACCTGACGCTATTCCATGTTCAGCTCTAAATTCTTCTCCTTTTCTATGAATGTTCCCAGATGTTTTCTTGTCCTAAAACAACATCTCCAGGGCATTAGACAATTGATTTTTTAATGCCTAAAGATGGCATCCCCCATTATAATTATAGGAAAAGTTATTAAGACTGCTAATTTCCTTTCAAATTTAAATAATGTTGTATGCTCCAATACACACCCCTGCTCTAATAAATGAAGTTACCTTAAACTCCAAGCAGTCCTCAAGTGTGGGATGCCCAACAAATGTCGCAGGTAATCCATTCGCCTTACAAACTTCTGCCTCAAACGGAAGGATGCATAGCACATGATCAACAAACTCAGAAAGCCCCCTAATTCTGGCTTCACCCCCTTTCCAGGCCCAAAAAGATGGTGCTACATAATGGAAGTGTTTAGGTCTGCTTTCCTTTTTGAAATAGCTAGCTGCAAAAACCATGTCACCATATTCCTACACGATGTTGTCCGATGCATAAGGAAGAGAAAAACTGCTCTGAGAAACAAAAGAAAGGCAACCATACAGTAGTTACCTCGCAATTGCTTAAGGAACCGGAAGGAGAATCCTTTAGAGTCGACTGTTAGTACAATATGAGGCTGAAACGAAAGTGCTGCATGCACTGTTTGCTTCAATTTAACCTGCCATTCCCATTTTATTTTGAGAATAAGTAACTCCCATGAAACAATCGAATATCAAGTTAATGTCCCAGTCAAAGTGCTAATAACTTCACAACTGCAAACTACATACTCTCAAGTTATTAAGGTGCGGCAACAACTCCCAAATGCCCATTACTGAAATATCGTCCATGGGAAAAAGCGAGTTCAATCCTTGCTTACACATCATGTATCTGAACATAAGCCAATGGCGACAATATAAGAACGAAAATTTTTACTTGAGAGACGAAAGCTTAAAGCAGATAATAAACAGTTTAAAATTACAATCTTCATTGTTCAGCACACTATAATCTCGCTTTCACATAATGTATCCTAACATAAGTCGATGATAATAAAAATGAGAATGACAATCTTAAGTGCAAATTATAAACAGTTTAAAATTAAAATATACAAACTTCAGAGCACCAAACAGCAACACTAAGCCATGTGGAATCAGTTCTAGGGACTATACCTAAGAAAACATTTTCACTTATATGTAGCCACAGATGGGCTTCCATTAACTATTCCAAATTCATTTCAGGTTTTCCACTCCCTTTTTTATTAAGAAATTTCCTTCTTTTTCCACATGCTGTAACTGAACATTTAAAGGACTTCTAGAATGCGCCACCCTTAAACGGTGTTATCTAACTCTCTTAATCTAGAAGGCTGTTCACCATAACTTTGTATATTTAGTCTAATGTGTCCACACATCCATATCAAGATTTACATCTAAATTACCTCATCTGCATGTTCAAAGTTGCCCAACATCCTGATCCCCCTAGTTTTACTGATATCATGATGGTTCTATAAACTTTAACATTCAATTTCAGTGATTCTGCTAAGTAGAACGGAGAAAAATCACAAACATCTAAACATTGATCAATTTAAAAAGAAAATATTAAGTTAAATTAGGATCGGATATTGTTCCCTTCACCTACTACAAGATTTGGAGGGGCACATAGCATATGCAATGAAAAGTATTATTGGAACTATAGCTAATGTTGTACAAAGGATTACAACAAAAGTTCAGTGGAAATATTGGGCACAAAAGAAACTATTACACGATAAAGCAATCACAGCTTACCCTCCAACACCAGCAAAGCGAACAGGAAAAGGAGAAAGCTTTGTGAGGGAATCCATAAAGCGAGAACCAATCATGTCGCCAGAAAGCTCACCAGCAACAATAAAAACCCTCAACTCCCCATCCTTGGCTGCCATATCTGCCACAGCTTGACTTGAAAATGAGAATGATCTTCTTCTCAATAGAGACCTGAAGCCCACATGCCTCCATAATAGAACCGCTCTAGGAAGCATGTTTGTTGTTTCCACTTCCTGAAAAAGGAAACAAAAGTTGTTAATTGACAAGGAGCAGATAGTTGTTCAGACAAACTCTGCCTAGTTCTTTTGCATTAATTCCAGAAAGCTACAAACAACTCCACATCCCCTGCAATTCCTTGATTGCAAAATACCCTCTTCACAAGCTTCAATAGTTAATTGTTTTGAAAGCTACTCCAAATCCAGACCTACCGCCTTGTGGCTTACTTATCCACAACTACAGCAATAGTGGTCACGTAACTGGAGGTGTAATATACACAATAAATTTCAACATATTATTTTAGATAAACTCGAGCTAACTATCAGCCTCAGCTGTGCGCAAAAGATTCCAACTTCGAACACAATCAACGTTGGCCAAGTTATTACAAAAAACAAATCACGTGAGAGAAAAAAGTCAACTTGATAAGCAGGATTTCAACCACATTTATTCATTTAATGGGTATCTTGGATAGCTGTGAACTTACAGAGAAAAGTGACAGCCGGAAACAAGTTATACTTAGTACATTCTGCACTTCCAAAGCATTAATCAGAGACTATCACAATGAAATTCTCAAGGAAAAGAAAACACAAAAACAGGTTCCACGAAAGAATTTAAATTTACAAAAAGCTCCATAGCAATCAAAACGTACCAGAATCAATACTTCAAATTCTCCTCCCACTCCCATAAATGAGCAAAACAACAAAAATAAACCAACAACACCACCGGCTAGCATTTTTTAATTTCAAACCCATCAAACAAAATCCCATGAAACTTCTACTCACTTATTAATCATAACTTCATAAATATACCAAGATTCAACACCTTGAGGGGCTTAATAAAAAAAGCTTGACAAATTCAACGCTAGCCGGTTGACTAAACAGCTTTCACTTTTCGTGTAACTATGGAAACACAAACAGAAAAAGTTTCTATCCAAACATCGTTAGAGCAATAACAGCACACAGAATTAAAACTTTAAAAAAAAAAAAAAAAAACCCTGACTTTGAGAGCACCTTGATGGGTCTGATTTGGATCAGAAAGAGATGCAAGGGGCGAAAAGAAGATGCAAAACGTTAAGAGCAAGTGCAACGTGAACTTTTTTTGCTGTACGGGGCCTCCAACGGCGCACCAAAAGCAGCAAATTGAAGCAGCAAAATGCTGCAGTAGCGCGCCTAATCAGCATAGCGCACCGTCCCCGCTTTTTTGTTGTTGTTTTTTTGTTTTTTCTGTACTTTTAAATTGATTTTTAAGCCCCTGCAATTATATGTTTTGTCATTATTGATGCACTTAAAGTTGTAGAAATTTTAATGAAAAATTTTAATTTAATTTATTTTTATTATCCAAGAGCTCCATATTATTATTCAATTATTAGGAGTAAATATAAATGACTTAATATTGGAATAAAAATAAAAATTATTGTAATCAAATAACATTAAAGTAAATAAAACACAAATACAGCATATTAGAACAAATCAAATTAACATTAAAGTAAATAAAACACAAATACATTAATATGAGAATAATCAAATTATCGAAAAGTAGAACAACATTCAACAAACCAAAACACATAAGCACACTTACTAAGAAATTATATAAAATGCATAAATACGAATAAACTACGAAAAATCATCCCCGAGATTAGTTGCATCTCCGCCAACATTGTTGAATAGATAGCTATTGGTGGTGGTTGCATTTGTGCCAATCGTTGTTGAAAAATTCATTCTCTTTCACCAATAATAAAAACACGATAAAGAGGATCAGTAATTTTGGTCACATCTTGTACCATAATTTAGTTTTCTTCCTCCATTGCTTCAAAGTCAATTTTTGCTTCTATAGTGCTATTAACTCTTTTTAGTTTTCACTTTTTTTTTTAAACATCAAGAAACTGTTGATTCTCTTCTTTAAACATTTTCACTTCACGAGTAGATTGTTCATCCATTTTTCTCTTATTTTTGGTTTTTTTAACACTAATAGGTCTCTTAGAAGAAGACCCGCTAGTATCACTTTTAATTACCATTTGAGAATCAAAGTTAGACAGGATAGGAGACTCAAGTACCTAGGATTTAGGGGTTGGATTATCATATTTAGATGATACAAAGTTGGAGGTTTGGTTGAACATGTGTCGTGCTTGTGTGACACCATCATTATATTTTATAAAATCTTTGAGCAAATTCTAGATGTGGTCGTAGTTGAACTCTTTTTCAAATCTTTTCTCAAGTACAAATAATTTTTTGGCACGATCCAACTGAAATGATATTTATACAACTGTTAACCCATTGATAAAAAAAATATAAAATTATAAATAAAACACAATTAAAAATTTAGTTACTTACATAATCTTCTGCATTTGCAACATGAGGATGCAGACCTTCTACTTGTTTATACAATTCATGTAATTTCTTGACGATTTTCTCTATTGTTTTTACCATTTTTGCATCAGATATCTTTAATTGCATTGAGCCTACCTTTTGAGATTTGCTTCTTTATTATATTCCTGCAAAATTCTTCTCCAAAATTCATCAGGTGCATGATACCTCACAATAGCTGGATTTTGTGTATCCAGTAGATCGGAAGATAAATTTAGACATTGGAATTTTTTTTTTTTTTTGTCAAAAGAGAGAAAATATTGATTCAGGTAAAAAAAAAAAAACTTAGGTAGTTTAATTTTTTGCTATATAGCTATTTACTATATGAATCAAACGCGCGAAGCTTTAAAAGAAATATGTATGCAGAGATGAGTCATTTTTCTAAGAATTTAGCTAAAACGTCAATAAAATACATCACTAACTATTACTAACAAATTGTAAAGTATAAAAGACTTAAAACTTTACTAAAATTGAGAATACATTAATGTTTGTAAATTTTTCTATCAGAACCAACGTTGTTTTTTAATCTTGCAACTCATCTTCATGTTGCTGAAAGCAAGACTACAAAATCAAGCTGTAGGCATTTGTCCTTGTATCTGGTTTAGAAATGATACATCTTGGAGATTAAGAATCAAGATTTCAGTTGTGATGCAATTTTCTGAACATATTACTATTATAGAAGGGGATCGAGTTGAGTTGAAGATCATAAGATCATGGGTACAAGTAGTATTGAGATGAAGAAAGGGGATTGGATTTACTGGTAGACCAATATGTGAACTGTTGCATGTTTTTGAATACGTATGTGCTATACTTCTGCTATTTAAATGCTACAATATGTTTATGCAAGAAAATTTCTTGGAAGTTGTAATATGCCTTTGGTCTTTTGATTTGAACTATCAGATTGATTTGTATAGCAGTTATTAAACCATCAAAGAGGAGTGAATTGATGGAATGATGTACACTTGCGGAAAGAGACTTAAATCCAGCGCCAGACTAGGAGTTGAGTCTAATCCTCAACACTCTCCAAAACAGTCTTGCAATATTTCTACTGCTCTACTAATTTAGGTATGTAATTATCGATAGTTAAACAGTCTTTAGTTTTTATAAGTTCTAATATTTATATAATTTTTAGGTCTTTTTTTTCGTCCTACAATCTATTTCATTGTATGTTACCCACAATCTATCTAATTTGATGCATATTTAAGACCCAATAGTTGAGCTTAACTTCTTTGGTTCTTGCTTGTGTTTGGTAGGTTCAAGATTTCCTTATGGCTCAATTTTCACTATAACTTCTGACTAATTAGCGAATTTCAGGTGATTGTTATCTATATTTCATCAACCTTCAATGTCTCGTTTGTTTCCCCCCTCCTGCATAAACATTTGTATTCTTGGCAAGAGAAAAAAATAACGAAGCATAATAAAATAAGGTATTTGTGTAGTGTTTATGCTTTGTTTGAGGTTAAACCTGAATCAATAAAAAAAACTCGAAAGATATCAATTTAAGGTTTAGTCTGTGTGGAAATTGTACTGTTAATTTAAGAAAACAATCATCGAGACCACTTTGTGGTAACTTCATCATCTATTTTTTTGAGGGATATTTAGTGTTTCTTTGCTTCCTTGTTTTTTAAATATGTTTTTTAAAGATGCTTAGATCTGGGGGCAGACTTATTAAGAGAGATTAATCTTAATTGTACATGATGTCAAGTTCTGTGTGTTTCCAAGTTAGCTCCTTTTTTGAAAAAAAATTAATGGTCTCCTTTTTTTTTTTTTTCCTTTTTTTCTATTGTCTTGTACATGTTTGTATTGATCACTACTCCTTTTAGTAAGTAGAAGTTGCTGGAAAATAATGCAAATCTAGGCCTTTGTTTTCACAGATATTTTATTTTCACAATAACATTTACCCTATATTATTTAGTTGGTTTAGCATTTTTAGCTTCTCCAGTTACTTCTAGCCAGTATAGTACTTTGCACCCAAATTATGTGTACATTAGTTAGATTTGTTTTGCTGCTATGATGGAATTGGGTTTTCCACTGCATTTTTCAATCTGGGATTTTCCGTCCTTTTTATTTGAACAAAAATTTGATTATTTGAAGTAAGCTTGTGATCTTTTTCTTGGTGCTACTTCTTGCTTTTGAAACCTACTTTTTGTAGGTGAATATAAGCTATCATAGGGATAAAAAAGATCTATACAAGAGGATTGTAGTATGCCCGGATGAGTATAACTGATGTTATTGGCAATGGAAGGACAAGGGTTCTTTATCGGCTTTTATGAATAACAATGGATTCACCCTTCTTCTTGTTGTGGCAGAAAGGGTATAAACACAACAAACCAGCGGAAACAATTCCCAAGAAAAACTCCTTTCCTACTACCAATAAAATAGGACAACAAAACAAGTAAAATAATTCAAGAACTGATAAAATAAAGGAGGCACACGAATTTACGTAGAAACCCAAATCGGGAAAAATTACGAGACTGCAACAACAGTCAAATCTCCACTATCATAATAATGAAAATAATTTTCACCAATCGGTGGATACACAGGATTTCACCCAAAGGTGGATTACAACAATACTCTTCCACACACACCTAAATCACAAAGTAGGATTGGAAGGATCTTACCAAAAGAGCGCTAAACTGAAAACTAAACCGGAGAATTTGTAGATCTTGTTGAGAGGAACACACATGTAAACTTACACCAATAACTGACTCTGTTTCATCACCCGATCAAAGCCTTAGAGTGAAACACTTTCTTATCGCAACACCAAAAAACCTCAAAACTAGTTTTTCTCTTCTCTTTTCTCTCGCACAAAAATAATGTGTGCCTGTCCCAAATTTGCTTGTCAAATTCACGGCGAAAAAGTCACGGTCACATTGCTTTTATAAGCAATCAAACCAAAAAAAACCAAATCCAATTGGTTTTCCTTTTATTCGGCTAAACCAAAACCAAATCCAACATTGATTTTCTTTAATTCATGTTGGGCTCAATTGAGGAGAAATATTGGCCCAACAATCTCCCCCACCACCTCAATTGGGGGGTAAAACCAAACCGGCTTCTTGTCTACAAAACAGGAACTTGTCTTTACTCACAGTCTTCGTCAACATATCGGCACCATAGTCATCCGTATGAATCTTCTCAAGAAACAACGCCTTGGACTCCAACATATCCCGAATCCAATGATATCTCACATCAATATGTTTAGACCGCGAATGGAATGTTGAATTTTTTGCCAAGTGATAGTACTCTGGCTACCACAATACACCACATACCTCTCTTGCTTCATGCCAAGCTCTTGTAGAAACTTCTGCAACCAAAGTGCTTCCTTACAAGATTCAGTAGCTACGATAAACTCTGCCTCTGTAGCAGACAAAGCAACACACTTCTGCAATCTACTCTGCCATGAAACTGCTCCCCCTCCATAAGTCATCAAGTATCCAAAAGTAGACTTCCGACCATCAAGGTCACCCTCCATGTCAGCATCTGTATATCCATCTAACATGGTCTTCCCATTGCCAAAGCAAAGACTCAATCTGGAAGTACCTCTAAGATACCTGAGAATCCATTTCACAGCATTTCAATGCTCTTTACTAGGATTGGAGAGAAACCGACTAACAACACCAACTGCATGAGCTATGTCTGGCCTTGTGCAAAACATCACATACATCAGGCTGCCAACTGTCGAAGCATAAGGAACTTTTTTCATCTCTTCCTTATCTTTCTCACTTTTAGGAAACTGCGGTTTGCTTAGTTTAAAATGCCCCGCAAGTGGAGTCGAGACTCCCTTAGCACCGCTCATGTTAAACCTATCAAGAACCTTCTCGATATACTTCTCTTGAG